GGTGTGCTCCACCCCCTCTGACCCCTGTCCCTGCCCCGTGTTTGCCGTTCCAGACCCACCTCCCCAACATCAAGGTCCACGCCTACTTCGCCCCGGTGACCCCCCCGCCCTCGGTGGGCGGGAGCCGACAGCGCTTCTGCAGATGCTGCATCATCCTATGACGCTGGAATGCTCATCCTGGCAAAACTGAGGCTGGAATTGCGCCCGGGGCATTCCGGGGGACACACCAGTACCTTGGAGGGGAGGCGATCCCGGTGTCGTTTGCGAGGGCCAGTGAGCAGGGCTGGGAGCCCCCCCCGGAGCCCCCCCGGAGCCCCCCGGGATCCCACCTGTGCCGGCGGGAACGGGGACTCGGCTTTGGAGCGGGATAATCCCGGCCCATCCCCGCTGGGCTCGCTCAGCTGAACCCCCCCCCCCCTGCTGTGGGAAGGATGGGAGGGCTTCTGACCCCGGAATGAACTGATGCTGCTGGTGGGGCTGGAATAGGAACCGGAATCCTTGGAATTGGGGACTGGGGGGAGAGGAGAGGGACTGGCTTTAACCACCCCCGCAGCCGTTGTCCAGGAGGGAAAAAAAAAAACCCAACAAACCTGAAAATCCCAAACCTGAAGCTCCATGTCCCGTTTTTCAGCGAGGGAGTGAAAGAGCAGCTGCTGAGCCGGAATTCCCCCTGGGAGCCAGGATTTACTTGGAACCCGGGATGTTCCTGGGAGCCAGGAATTCCCCCCTGTGCTCCCACCCTGGCCGTGCTCATGTCTCTCCCATATCCACCCTGTCCAGCTCGGAGGTTTTCCCAGGTGGTTGTGGTTGACCTTGGAATCTGTGATGTCGGATTTTTTGACCCTCCCCACCTCCTGCTTTTTTCCTTTTTTTTTTGTTTTTTTTTTTCTCCTTTCAGCGGGTTTTTAATTCAGTCGTTTCTTTGACATCTCCCAGCCCAAAGTGACGAATCCTTAATTTCAGTTTTAAAAAGGAAATTTTTTTTCCCCAGGAGAAGCCCGAGCCTGTCGGGAAGGTTTTTAAGCCTACCCCAGGCTGGGCTCTCGTGGGAATTCTTGGCCTGTTTGAGCAGGGATTGGGTGTCCAAATTTATTCTGATTTCAGGTTTTATCCCAGTGACAAGGATATAATTCCCAATATAGGGAATAATATATATATATATTTATATATAATTCTCAATACAGGGATAAAGTTCTAGTCTGTGTTCCAGCGACTGTAAGTTCCCTCCTCCTGTCCTTTCCCTCCATCCCTTCATCTTGTCCCCAAGGAAAAGCAAAGTAGAACCTCTTTGCTTGTTGCCCTCATGAAGAAATAAGGATTCCCTGAAGGAGCAGGTCTGGGATCTGCCCTGGCTCCAGGGAGCACTGGGGGCTTTCCCGACCTTCCCACCTTCCACAGGTAAGTGTGGAGCCCCCAGGAGGACCCACGGGGATGGAAAGGGGTTGGGATGAGCCAGGCCCAGCTCTGGGGGGGGGGGGGGGGGGGGGGAGGGGGGGGGTTGGGGGCTGGTTTTTGGGGCGTTTCAGGCAAAATCAGCGCAGGTGCTCCAGGGGAGCACGGAGAGCACGGACTGATCCGGGCATTCCAGGTGCCCGGGGTGGAACTGCTGGGCAGATCCCAAGGGTTTAACGGGGCAGGGCCTGGATCAGGCTCTGGGGGGAGCTGAGCTGTGTCAGTCATTCCCGCTGGATGGATGGAAGGAGCTCTGGTGTCCGTGGATATTCCCGCCCGGCTGGGGCTGAACCGCCGAGGAATTGGGGCCTCCCCTGGGTCCTGAGGAATTCCTTTGGTGGGAGAAGAGCGGGTGCAGCACCAGGAATGGCTCTTCCAGGGTCTGGGGGGGGGTTGTTTTTTCACCAGGAGTTTGCTCCAAGGACAACGAGCTGCTTCCCAGGCTCTCCAGGCACAGGAGGGTCCCTGGGAGCTGCACTCCCTCCACCTCCCCCCCAGTCCCCCCAGTCTGTGCTCACGGTCTGCTGGGAGGAACTCCAGGCTGCTGTGGTTAAAAGGATACTGTCAATGCCTTCCTGTAGATGCTTTTCAATCCCTTATATTTATTCAAATCCCCTTTAGCGCTGTGGATTCTCCCTCTCTCCTCCAGAGAGAGAGAGAGAGAGAGAGGCTTCATTTCCAGAACTTTCTCCAGGTTTCGGGGTGGCAGAGGATGGTGATCACCCAGCAATCACAGGATTTGCACAACTCTGGGAAAAAAAAAAACAAAACAAAACACTTTGTTCAGTTCATACTGTGGCAGGGGAGAGCGAAAAGTGGGATTTCGGAGGCGGGGTGGAGTTGGCTGACTGGATTCCTTTGGAACAGAGCAAGAGTTTTCCAGGGAAAACTCAAGAACACAGAACCCAAAGCATTCTCTTTTTCTGTTTGCCAACCAGGGTGGCAGCATTAAGGTAGCTCAAAACTACTTGACAGTGTCCTTTTAAATCAATTATCCGTCTTCAAATGGACTCTTCCTGATGTTTGTATTTATAAGTACCAATAAACACCATTTTCCAAGCCCTGTCTCACCCGAGAGATAACTTTGGGGAGGAAAATCCACCTCCTGCACCTGGGGGAGGAGGATGTTTGGGGGTTCTCCAGGTGTGTGAACCCCTGGCACGGAGTCTTGGAATATTTTGGGTGGGAAGGGACACCCCCAGGGACACCTTCCCCTGGTCCAGGTTGCTCCAAGCCCCCTCCAACTCTGGGATCCTTCCCGAGGGGCTGGTGAGGGGTGGGTGGCTCAGCTCCCCCTCAGGTGGCTGTGAAGGGTGTTGGGCACTGGGAGTCTGCTCCCAAAATTTAGAGGAATTGCCCCATCCTGTGATTTTTGAGGTGTTAAAGGTCCAGGCCTGGACGAGGGTCCCACCCTGGTGCCAAACCCAGCTGGGGCAGCTCCTCAAGCCCATTCCTGGAGCTGTTCCCTGTCCTCCCTTGGGAACCTCACAGGTTGTGTGCCCAGTCCTGGAACAGGGGCTGCACTGTCTGTTCCCACCTCCCAGCTGAGTTTTCCTGGACCTGCCTTCCAGCTCCTGCCCTGCTCCCAACTCCCACTGCCCCCCCCCCGTGCCCTCGGAGTGCAGATGGGGCAGGGACAAAGGGATTTCTCCAGGGAATCAGCCCCGGACCTCCTGGACTGGGAGATCCTCCGGCAGATCCAGTGCAACCAAAAATGAGGCTTTTCTGCTCTTCTGAGGCACTTTTTATCCAATTCCACTCCCACAGAGAGGGAGGACAGGGCAGCTGTGATGTGCTCTCACAGGGCTGGTTTCAAACAAGGACTTTGACAAATTTCTCTTTTCTGAACCTCGCTGTAACTTCCTCTGTATTTTTATTTGATTTTCTCTGTGTTGTTCATGGCTGGCCCACGGTGTCGTGGGGTTTGGGTTGATTTTGGGGTGTTGGGTTTTTTTTTTTGGACGGGGGGGTCAGTGTGACAAAGTTCTTGGCTTGTTCACAAGTTCTTGGTGACAGTGTCCTGAAAAATGAGGTTTGAAACATTTTGGCCTCTTCTGGTGAAGGACTGTGTGCTTGAGGGGTGGTTTTTTTTGGTAGGGGGGTTATTCCTTTAGCTTTATTTTCCATCTCAGGGTTTCTGTCCTCCCTCCCTCTGTGCCAAATCCTGGCAGAGGCTCCTCGTGCTGCAGCTTCGGGGGAGCAAAATAATGGAGAAAATCAAGGAGAAGCCTCTTTCCCTCCTCTGTGCAAATCCCTCCCCCCTTCCACACTCCAGCTCTGTCCCAGCCGGGGTTTTTAACCCATTTTTTCCTCGGGGGGGGCTCAGTCCAAGGGACTGGGCACAGAATCTGAGCCTTGTCCTGGTGCCCCCTGGGTCTGTGGTGCAGAGAGCTGGGAAATGTTGTTTTAATGGTGTGAGATCTGTGCCTTCCTGGGCGCTGGGGGTATAATAATGCATTAACTGAAAGTAAAGGTGTAGATATAGATATATAATATATGTAGCTGAGGGTAGGACCGACCCCAAACCCCTGCAGGCACCACAGGGATGAGGTCACTCTCCATCCCGGGGTTCCTCTCTCCATCCCGGGGTTCCTCTCTCCATCTCGGCATGACTCCAGCTCTGCTCCGGTGGGATTTGTCCCTTCCCGGGCTCCCGCAGATCCGGGGCCGGGTCCTACCGCAGCAGCAGCTGGAAGCCCTCGGGGCCGGGGGCTGCCCGGGGGGGGACGGGGCTCAGCCGGGGCCACCGATCGCCCCCTGCCCGGCCCCGCCCGCCCGCGGCCCCCCCCCCCGGTACCTTTGGCGATCGCCACCACGAAACTGGTCTCGTCCTGGAGGGTCCTGAGCATCTGCGGGGCACGGGGAGGGTCGTGAGAGGGGCCGGGGGGGTCCGGACCGTGTCTGTCACCCCCTGGGTGTCCCCATGTCCTCACCGCGTCGCTGACGAGGACGTGGATGCCGGAGGGTCCCTGCCGGGAGACCCGCAGGATCTGGGCCGGGGGGAGCCCCAGGAGCTCCGCGAGCTTCCCGGTGAGCTCGGCCACCGTCAGCTGCTCCAGGTGCAGCTCCTGGTACAGCCCTGGGGCGGGATGGGATGGGATGGGATGGGATGGGATGGGATGGGATGGGGACGGGGCTGTGAGCGCCCACCCTCCATCCCTGCTCTCCCCTGCACCTGAGCCCCCTCACACACCCCCGAGCCCCCACCCCGCACACCTGAGCCCCCTCACACACCCCTGAGCCCCCACCCCACACACCTGAGCCCCCGTCCTCCACCTCCTCGGCCCCGCCGGGCTCCCGCGCCACATAGAGGGTCAGCCGGGGCCGCGGGCACCTGAAGGGGCAGAGAAGGGTCTGGCGGGGGGGCTCGGGACGCGGCCGGGCCTCCCGGAGCCTCCCGGGGGTCCCCAAAAGGAGCCCACCTGCCCGCCAGCGCGTGGCACAGGCGGATCCCGTCGGGGGCCCCGCAGATCTGGATCAGGTCCCTCCGGGAGAGCTTCAGCAGGTCGGCGCCTGCGGACAGGGGGGCTCAGGGAGCGGCGGATGGCGGGGGTGGGCTCTGCCCCCCACCCCGGCCGAGGGTCTCACCCGTGAAGTTGGCGAACGCGCGGGCGCAGGCGGAGAAGCGGCGCCGGAGGAGCCACTGCTGCGTCTCCAGGGGGGATGCGCAGGGACTCAGCGCCTGCGGGGGACGGGGGGTGCTCAGAGGGGGCGCGTCCTCAGCCCACCCAGCCCCTCCCGGGGAGGCTCTCGGGGGGCTCCCTCACCTCGCCGGGACTCTCGGCGGGTCCCTCGGCAGCGCAGGCGGGCGACACACACCCCCTGCGGGAGGGGCCGGGGCTCAGCGGGGACCCCAAAAGTGCGGGGCGCGGGGGGGTCCCGAGGGGCCCCACTCACCTCTCGGGGCTCAGCAGCTTGAAGGGGTGCGGGGTCGGCAGTCCCGGGGTGCCCGGGGGGCTGTGGGGGGCACCCAGCGCGTCCGGCCACGGGGCGCACTGAGGGTGGAGGGGGGTCATGGCCAGAGGGGCCCGGGGGAGGCACCCCCGGCCAGCGGGGAGGGGGCGCCGGGGCCGGGTCCCACCTCGGCCAGCACGGTGCTCTCGTAGGACGGCTGGAATTTCTCCCGCTCCGGCGGCGGCTGCTTCTCCACCTTCTCCCGGTCCGTCTTCTGCTTCCTATCGGCCCCCTTGGGCTGTGCCGGGGGGTCAGGGCGGCCCCGGGACCCCCAGGACCCCGAATCCCTGAGGCACCCGGACCTCTGGGGTGCCCAGACCCCCACCCACCCCCCCTCCCGCGCACCCACCCCCGGCTCTGCCGCAGGCGCTGCCCCGCGCTCAGGGCGGGATTTCCCCGTACGGGGGGCACTGGTCACACTGGGGTCACTGGTGACCCCCCCGATACCTTGAACACCTTGACCAGGCAGCTGGCGGAGTGCAGGTGCTCGGGGGGGTCCCCCTTGCCCCCCGCCCCGAAGGTGTCGATCTGGAGGCGGAAGGGGACCCCCTTCTCCCCCCCGTTCTTGCGCAGCGTGAACTCGGTGCTGATGCAGTGAACCTGCGGTGGAGGGGGGGTACAGCGGGGTCGGGGGCGGCCTCTGGGACCCCCCCTCAGCCCCCCAGAGCCCCCCGGCCCCCCTGGGTCCCACCTGCACGAACACGGACGTGCGCCTGGAGGGGTCCCACAGGAATTCCACCGTGTTGAGCAGCGTGGGGTGGATTTGGGGCTCGAGGACGCCGACGGAGAGCGGGATGTCTGCGGGAAGGGGGTGAGCGCGGCCCCCGCAGCCCCAGCCCGGGGCTCCCCCGGCCCCGGCACCCACCGATGTCGAGGATTCGGTCGCCGGGGCGGCTCCACCGCCAGCCCTCGAGCTGCTGCTGCTCCGAGTATTGCAGGCGCCGGTCGTGGAAGGACACCCGGACCACGCTCTGGGGACAGCGGCGGTCACGGGCTGAGCCCGCGGCCGGACACACGGACACGGCCGGACACACGGACACGGGCTGAGCCCACGGACACGGCCCCACAGGAGACTGTGCTGGACGGGGCTGGACTGGGGCTGAGCTGGGCTTCTGAAATGGGGCTGAACTGGAGCCGAACCCGATCTGAACTGGGGCCGGAATGGGATTGAGCTGGGACTGGAGCAGAGCTGAGGTGGGGTCGGACTGGGGCAGAAATGAGGAAGAACCGGGGCTGGGATGGGGCTGGACTGGAACAGAACTGGCAATGAACGGGGGTGAGATGGGGCTGGACTGGGGTAGAACTGGGACAGAACTGGGGCCGAGCTGGGGCTGGACTGGGACAGAACTGAGTCTGGACGGGGGCTCTGGCACAGCTGAACCGGGACTGCAGCCCAGAGCTCTGCCCTGAGCCTCCCCCCGTTCCGAGGGTCCCCACCCCGGCTCACCTTGACCATCCTCCGTCCCTCCGCGGGGTCCCCCCGGGGGGTCCCCACCATGCGGATCTCGTACGACTGCCCTGGGGAGGGGGAATGGGGGGCAAAGGTGGGTGCTGAGCCCCCGGGGAAAGGGGGCGTCCCTCCCCCAGATCCCCCCCGGACTCACCCTGGTTGAGGTAGGTGAGGGTCTCCTCGTGGTGCCGCACGGCGGGGGAGGTGGGGGCGCACAGGATGTACTGGAACGCCGGGAATTCCGGCTGGGACGTGGAGATGCCGTTGGGCTCCTCCTGCTTCAGGTAGGGCAGGACGGGGGGGGTCCCTGCGGGAAAACATCCCACCCAAAAAGGTGGGCACCCAGCCGTGCCTCGGTTTCCCCCCAAACCATCGGATTTGGGGGGTGGGGGCGGTACCTGAGCACCCCAGAAGGGGGGAGGGGGTACATGTCCCCGGCGCTGGACCAGTAGTGGTCGGGTTGGCCGTGCCAGAAGAGCATTTTGGGGGGGGGCTCAAGGGGGGGACACCCCACGAACAGGGTGGCAGCAGAGAGGGACAGGCGGGTGTCCCCCCCATGGCTTTATAGGCACAGGGAGGGTGATGTAAGCGGGGTTGGGCCCAGTTTGGCCCAGTTTGGCCCAGTTTGAGGTGTTGACAGTAAATAGTGGGGGGGGAGGGGGCATCGTGTTTGTTGTCACAGAGGGAGGGGAGGACACAGGGGGGGCTCCCTGAGTCCCTTTGTCCCAGCCAAGGACACCCTCCCCTGTTGTGTGTGTGTCTCCCTCGTTTTAATTCCTTTAATTTCCCCCAGATTTGGCTCATTTTCGGGAGAAAAACCTTCCCCGGACCCCCCCAAAAGCCTCCCCTGGCCATCGGCTCTGCCCTGAGCCTTTGGGGGGATTTTGGATGAATCCAAGGACTGGATTCCTGAGCCCCCAATAATCCTGCCTGGAAGCCCAAGGGGTGGATCCAGCCCCAAACTGGGGAGCAGCAGCAGCAGCTCCTCCCCATCCCGTCCTATCCCCTCCCATCCCCTCCCATCCCATCCCATCCCATCCCTCCCCGCTCCAGACACGGACACTCAGCAGGAGGGGTCCCGGATGTTTTTTTATTGGGTGCTGGAAGCTGGAAAACGCTCCCCAGCAGGGACAGCCCGCGGTCACTTCTTGGCCTCCTCCTCCTTGGAGAGGGTCTTGATGATCTCCTCCTTCTTGGCCTGCAGCCGCTCCTCCCGCCGCTTCCGCGCCTCCTTGGTCTTGGAGCGCCGCGCCTCCGCCTGGTCCCTGCGGGATCGAGGGGTCTGGATGCACCAGGAGCACCTCAAACAGCCCCAAAACCACCCTGACCCCTGTCCCCAATCTCCTGCCGCTGTCCCAGACCAGCCTTGCTCCAGCACCCACATCCCTCCCACTGGATTTTGGGGTTTTCCCTTCGCTCCAGCCCAGGAGGAGCCAGCAGGGGCTGTGTGGGGTCACGGCCTTTACTGGAGCCCAGGGTGAAGTTATTCAACATTTCCCCCTCAAGGACACAGCAGGATTTTGGGATCCCTCCCCTTCCCCTGGTCAATCATTCACTGACTCCAGCAGCTGCTCAGGAATTTCCCAGTTTCCCTCTCTCTGAGCATTAAAACCCCCAGTGAACCACAAAACTCCACCACGATCCCACATTTCTCTGCTTCCAGCCAGCCCTGCCCAGTTCGGGACCGATCCCTCCCACCAGGGCCAGAATCCACCTGGAATGACCCACGGGGAGGGGGGTCACTCCTGACAAACCCCCCCTGCCCAGGGCAGCACTCACGCCAGGAGCTTCTTGCGGGCCTTGTCCGCCTTCAGCTTGTGGATGTGCTCCATGAGGATCCGCTTGTTCTTGAACACGTTGCCCTTGACCTTCAGGTACAGGCTGTGGTACCTGCGGGGGTGGGACGGGGCAGGACATCAACCCAGGGAGGGTTTAACTCCATTCCCAAGGAGCTGGTAGGGCAGGAAGGGGGTCTGGGTGTGTGGGATGTTAACTGGGAGGTGCACGGGGTGCAAACTGGGGTGGGGTGTCTGTGGGTGCTGCCCCCACTCAGGGTGACGCTGGGATGTGACAAGGGGAACGTCACACATGGGGACCTCTCCAGCTCTGTGGAGAGGAGTTCCCATCACCTGTGTGGTGAGGTGGGAGGGTCTCAGCTCCATTTCCTGTGGGTGGGACCCCCCCTTTATTAAGTGGGCTCAGAGGTTGTGCAGAGCTTGTGGGGAGGCTCTGTCTGTCTGTCCATTCCCAGCGCTGCGATGGGTCTGGAAAGGAGCTGCTTGGGGTGTCCTGTGGGGGCCTCACCCAGCTCCCTGGTGTGAGCTCCAGTCCCCTCACAGCCCCCTGTCCCCCCCAAACCCCGTGTCCTTCCCCCCAGGGCTGCAGAGCCCCCCCAGCCCCGTGCCCACACTCACATGTGGCGGTCGATCTTCTTGGACTCGCGGTACCTCCGGAGCAGCCGCCGCAGGATCCGCATCCGCCGCATCCAGGTGACCTTCTCGGGCATGCGGGCGTTGGCCGTGCCCTTCCTCTTACCTGGGGAGCCCCAAAACCTGCCAGTTAAACCCCAAACTCCTCCCAAAACATTTAATCCCCCTCTTCAGCTCAAGTTATAAGCTATCCATGCCCAAGCCAGGGGTTTTCCATCTCTGTGACCAAACCCATTGGGATAATCCCCAGGGGTCCCATCAGCCCTGGGGACCCTGTGTGTGGCAATCCTTACTGAATTTCTAGACAGATAAGTAAAGACTTAGTATGTGAAAGACATAAACAAGAAGTCCATCAATTTTACTTTTAACATTAATTTAACTTTTAACATTAATATTACTTTTAACATTAATTTAACTTTTAACATTAATATTACTTTTAACATTAATATTACTTTCATTACTTTCAATATTTAAACTCTAGTTTGGTGGGGGATGTGTATCTGCAACCATCAAATAAAATCAGAGTCAGCCACACTGAACTGATATTCACGTTTTCCTATGCAACATTAATTTTTAAATTAAGCTGATCAGGGAAAAGTACAGCCTTGGATTTTGATGGAAGTGATTGGAACTGCCCAGGATCAAGGACTGAACAGTCACAGCCAAACTGGGGGTCTCGGGAGGGGAAGGAAGCTGAATTTTAGGGGTAGCCTAAAATTCTGGAATCCCCAGACTGGCACAGGGCCTCTCCAGGCGCTGACATCTGGGGGTGGGTCCCCTGTGCCCCGCTGTGTCTGTGGGGTGCAGCCCTCACCGATGCCCATGTGCCGGCCCTTCCTCCGGGCCAGCGTGTTCTTCCTGCAGCGGGCGCGGGAGTGAACGGTCACGGGCTTCCTGATGATCAGCCCATCCTTGATCAGCTTCCGGATCTGCTGCCCTGCAAAAACACGGCCAACACCTCCTCTGGAGCCCTCAGGTGAGCACAGATCTCCCCCCCTTTGTCCCACCTGGATGAAGGCTGGGAGTGCCACGGAAGGTGGGTTTCCCCACAGAGCCCCTCACGCTGCTGGAGCTGCTCCGTTCTCCCTCCCAAGTCTCCCTGAGAATCTCCCAATTCCCTCACTGATTATCTCACACGGCACCAGGGAGCTCTAAAAACCCTGGAAACCCCACTTTAAGGTGGAAAAAAAGCTCCTCGAGTGGCAGAATTTTACCCGAGCCAGAATTTCCCTTAAGGCAAAAGCTGGGCTTGATAATCCTGGGAGGCTTTTTCCAGCCTCAATGGTTTTATGATTCTAAACAAACTTCGCTGTCACTGAGCCTCCCAAAAGCCCTCTTCCCGCTCTGCTGGTGGATCTCTTTCCCCCAGGGCCCCTCGGGCAGAACTGTGCCCAGGATATTTCCCCCCCAGTGCCCAGGACATTCCCCCAGTCATTCCCAGTGGGACGTGCCCCACTCACGGGAGTTGGCGTTGGCGATCTCGTTGGTCTCATTGGGATCCAGCCACACCTTCTTCTTCCCGCAGCGCAGGACGCTGGAGGCCAACCTCTTCTGGAGCCGGAGCATACTGGGAGAGGGAGCGACAGGGATCAAGGGGGCTCTGCACCCCCCCTCAGAGACCCCCCCTCAGGGATCCCCCC